TCCTGCTGGTTGGGCCTCGCCCCCCGGGCGGGCGGCTTGGCTCTCCTGCGCCCCTGCGACCCTCTCGGGCCGAGGGCGGAGCGGGCGGCTGGGGGCCGTTTGCTCCCCGCCCCCACCCGCGAGAAGTAGAGCGTTTACCGGGGCGGGGTGGTGGGGGCGTGCGGAGGGCGTCCTCTCCCTGGGCTCGCGCCACGATGCCGACCGGGGGCCGCCGGGGTATCCAGTCCCGTGCCACCCCCGCCAGTGTCGGCTGTGGTCCTGCCCTTCACACAGGCGACCGCCCCTCTCTTGACGTTCGGAATGGTTTCCGAGTGCCGCCCCCCTTTTGCGGCCTTCCCCTCGCGACGGCTGAGCCCCCTGCGGTTCTTCTCCCTCGGCCACGTTTCGCCGGTAGCGCGGAGTTAGATCCCGGGTGTGCACACCCTTGCGGCGAGAAAGGAAGAAACCCCCGGCAATCCCACGCCCCTCCTCCTGCGGAGCCCACGGGTGAGGCAGGTTGAAAAGGAAACTGGGCCATTGAGAGTACCTCCCCTCCCCCTTGCCACGGGCTTGGCTAGCTCGCCTCCTGCCGGCTCCCGTTTGTGCTTGCTTGCTTGCTTGCCTCCGGAGCCGAGCCTTGCAGCGCGAGTTGCGGCCAGGGCCCCATTGCGTGTGGCGTTCTTCGGGGGGGTTTGGAGTCGTATGTTGTTTTGTCTGCCCCTGCCTTTCCGGCTCCCGTCCCCGAAAGCGGGGCAGGCTTTGGGGGGGTCCTGGCTGCCGGGGCCGTCGGAGGGGCTGCCTTCCGTGGCCCCCGGGGCCGAGCGGCCCCTGCCCGCGGTCGTGTGGGCTGAGGGCCCGCGCCGACAACGACAGGGGGACTGCCTCGGCTGCGCGGCGGCGGGGGCGCGCGACCCCGCCTCGAGCCCGCTGCTGCTGCTGCTGCTGCTGCGGCCGCCGTCGGCCCCCGGCCCCGCCCATTCCCCAGTTTGGCGGCGAGGTTTGGGAGGGCGCGCGACCGTGCAGCCGGGCTGCCCGTCGTTGTTCCTCCATCTCCCGGTCGCGCTGGCTGGCTGGCTGGCTGGTTGGTTCCGTCCCATCCACGGGGGGCTCTCGGCACGGCTCCCCGGCCTCTTCTCTCCCCCCCCCCCCCCCGGGGAGGGAGGAGGCCGAACCCAAAAGTCTTTGTCAGCCCCGCCTGGGTCACCGGGGCCTACGAGGTGAGCGACGGCGCCGAGCCCAGTTTTGTGAGCCGGGTGTTTGGCGCCGTGGGCTACGCGTTTTCTCAGGGCGCAGGTTCTCCTCCCCTTTGAGGCCTCATTGAGTGGGAGGCGAGACACACACAAGTGTGAAACCCAGCAAAGACTCTTAACGGGGGATCACTTGGCTCGTGGGAAGACCGCGGCAAGAAGCGAAGTTTTGGTGGCTATCGCAATTCTCCGTGATTCCATCGACGTGTCGAACGCACATTGCGGCGGCCCTGTGCCTTCTTCGAAGGACGGCTGCCACTTCCCTCGAGTGTCGTGACATTGCCCCGGGACCACAGTACGGACGGCTGCCTTTATCCTCGACCGTGCGGAGGTTCGGGGGCGGCGGCGGCGGCGGCTGTGGCGGCACGTGTGGCTGCTGCTGCTGCTGCCCCTCGCGCCAACGATTCCGCCCTGGGGAGTTCGCCGGACCTGGAGGGACGCAGGTCCCGACGTTCCTGAAGACGTGGAGGGTTGCTCTCTCTTCCGTCGCTGTTGGCGCGGATGGCCAGTCCTCCCCCTGGCCCCGCGCCGGCCATGCCTGCCTGCCAGCCATTGGGCCCCAGTGTGGGATTAACGTGCCGAAAGGCCGGAGAGGCGCTCCCCCGAAGCCGACCAAACCAGCCGGCCAGTCCCGCGTGCTCGCTGCCTGCCCCCTTGCCAGTACCCCCAGGGAACGGTTGGGGGGCAAAGCAGGCGGCTCGGCCGTGCTTGGAGGGGCAAGGGCGCATCCTGAGAGCGCGAGAGCGCGCACGGGACCTCTCCGCGCCTGAAAAAGCCAACCAACGAACGCGGACTCTCTCTCCCTCTCCTCCTCCATCCCCTCCTCCCAAGGAGAGAAAGAAAGGCGAGGGCGCCTCGAGGGAGCCGCGCTAGGTAAGAAGGTAGCCGGGCCCGACGCTACCTTCACGAGCCCGCCCTCCCCTTCTTCCCCTTGCTGCTGCTGCTGCTAGCGACTTGCTTTTGCGGCAGCGGTAAAGGGGGAGGAGGAGGAGGAGGAGGAGGCTTTTTTAGCAGCGGCAGCCTCTCCGGTGTCTTGCTTGGCCGTCCGACGGCCGGTCACGCCCCGGGGATACCCCTTCCTCTCGCCTCCTCTCGCAGCAATTTGTCTGATCCAAAACGAACAAAAAAAAGGAGAAAGAGAAGAAAGAAAGCCAAAAAACGGTCCAGTCAGATTTCGGGCTAAAGGGAATACGGTTAAAATCCCGTGACCTGCCCTGTGGCAAAGACAGACCCGTGCGTGGGAAAGAATGTTTTGTCGTGCGGCCGTCTGACCATGCGGCGGCGGCGGCGGCTTATACGGCCGCTGCTGCCGTCGCGGTCACGACGACCCTCCTCCCGCTCCCCTTCTGTGAGAGGGCTTTCTCTGAAGAGAGTGGGAGTCGACCCCCCCACCCCTCCCCCGCGGGGAGGCGGCGGCGGCGACGACCACTCTCTTGCCGACCTCGCCGGTCTCGCCCGCTGCGGGCTTGGAGACCCCCTAACCGTGACGGTGTGTACTACGACCTCCCCTTCGCTCTCGGAGTAAGCGCCTCCTCTCTTCCTCCTCGGAAAACCGGCGTGGAAAAGAATCTCCCCCTCCCTCCCTGCTTGTTGTGGTCGGGTCGGTCGAGGGGTTTGACGATTGGCTTCCACCGCCACGGCTTCCGGGAGAGCTTTGGGAAGAGAAAAAGAGCAAAAGAGAGTGCGCGGCCGCGCTGGCAGCCCCCTTTGAATCTCCTTAGATCCGGTGGTCCGGAGGCCAGTGTGTGTGCTTGGCAACAGGCGTACTCGTTCGCCGACGCCGGCGGTAGCCCGGGGAAGAGCTTTCTTCTCTTTTTTAGGCTGCTGGAGGCCCCAAGTTCGTTCACTTTGAGTGGGGGTCGTTGGCCGTAACAGCCATACGTGAGATTGTGATCTGTTGGGAGTAATCCTCGCTGTTGCGATAGCCGTAGAGCACCGCGCAAATAAGCGCTTGGTGTCCCGTGCGCTACCGCCGGCCCTTGAAAAGGTGGATAGGGTAAACCCCCTCCGGTACCAACCAAACCCAACCGAAGCCAAGAGAGAAAAAAAAAAAAAAAAAACGAAAACAACACTACAACTACCCAAACATATCAAATGACTACGTGGAATACATTTTGAATACTGATGAAAAAATAATGTTTTTATCGCATTTCGCTTAGTGATAGTTTTTTCCTAGCAATGTCCGAATGCAATCATCTGATAAATACTTGATTTTTAAAGACCTACAGTCAAAATAATATTCATAGACAATCTAAAACTATATTTCCAATGAATTATGATTTATATAAGACGTAACCAATACATAAAATATTTATTCCTAAGCAATTAGCATTATACATGTGTTGTCAATATTTTTTTTTTCTATTTCTTCTTTTCAGGATGTAGCGTTTACGAGTTTTCATTTATTTTAGCTTTTAAATTGATTTTCCTTGGGATATTGATGGAAATAGATATGAGAGCTGTAAGAGAACAACCAGCGCTGTTGACTGTCGCCGAATAAGCGTTGCATTTTGAGTATTAATAAAGCATCTGTCGAACTCGATCTAGCACACACACACATACGTACATATATGTATATACATATACATAAACACACACACACACACACGACGGACAATAGTAGACAGGCAAATACAGATAAACAGATAGTCAGTCAGACACTGTTTACCATGCTCTGTGTGTTTGTCTCTATTACTATCTTTCTGTCTCTTTGTCTGCATCACTGTCTTTCTACCACTCTGTCTCTCTTTGATTCTGTCTTTGTCTCTGTTGCTAATTCGACCTTCTCAGAGTGTTAGTTTAGTTATATGTCAAAAAAAAACTTTTTTCATTTTCTATAGACATCAGTCATAGAAAACGTCAACGTCTCACAGCATATTGCATAGTATACTATCTTATACTTCCTTTGCTCTCTTTTTCACCATTCTGGCACTAACATATTTATTTCAATAATAATGATAACAAAATAATAATAATGATAATAATAATGATGAT